GATCATCTAGTTCCAACCTCTATGGGTAGAGACACCTTCTACTAGACCAGGTTGCTCAGAGCTCCATCCAACCTGTCCTCGAACACTTCCAGGGATGGGGCATCCACAGCTTCTCTGGGCAACCTGTTCCGATGCCTCACCACCCACCGTGTAAAGAATTTCTTCCTAATATCTAATCTAAACCTACTCTCCTTCAGTTTGAAGCCATTCGCCTTTGTCCTGTCACTACATGCCCTTGTAAATAATCCCTCTCCATCCTTCTTGTAGACTTGCTTTCAGGTACTGGAAGGTCACAATTAGGTCACCCCAAAGCCTTCTCTTCTCCAGGCTGAACAATCCTAATTTTCTCAGGCTTTCCTTGAAGAAGTACTCTATCCCTCTAATCATCTTTGTGGCCCTCCTCTGGACTTGCTCCAACAGGTCAATGTCCTTCCTCTGCTGAGGATCCCACAGCTGGATGTGGTACTCCAGCTGGGGTCTCACCTGAGCAGAGTAGAGGGGCAGAATCACCCCCTCCAACCCTGCTGACCATGCTTCTTTCGATGCAGCCCAGAACAGACTTGGCTTTCTGAGCTGCAAGCACACATTGCCAGCACATGTCCACCAGCACCCCCATGTCCTTCTCTGCTCTCAATCTGTTCTTTGCCCAGAGTGTATTGATACTGGGGGTTGCCCTGACCCAGGTGAAGCACCTTGGACATGGTCTTATTAAACCTCATGAAGTACCCACGGGCCCATTTCTCAAGCCTGCCCAGGTCCTTCTGGGTGGCATTCCATCCTTCAGGTGTGTCAACAGTACCACTCAGCTTGGTGTCATCTGCAAACTTGCTGAGGGTCTACTCAACCCCTTAGTCTATGTCATTAATCAAGATACCATCCCAATATGGACTGCTGAGGGACACCACTTGTCATTGGGACTCTGGGCTGTTGAACACTAGTCTCTGGATGCAACCATCCAACCAATTCCCAATCTGGCTAACAGTCAACCCATCGAATCCATCTCTGTCAGCTTGGAGAGAAGGATGTTGTGGGGTACTGTGTGAAAGGCTTTACGGAAGTCCAATTTGGCACTTAGCATCAGAGAAAATTCATAACCACTTTTTGATGCAAATATTCAAATAAACAAATATATATTACCCCAAAAGGGAGTAGACTGCTACACAAACAGATAATGAAATTTAATTTGAGGGAAAAAAATTAGGATCTGCCCAAGTATCTATTATCAGACTATTCCTCTTACAGGTTAGCATCCAAAATCTAAACAAAATACAAATTAACCCCAAATATATGTATGATCCAAAGATGTGTTTACTTGTGGGTGCTGATGAATCACTTCATTTTTTGGCAGCCATTTTGGTATCAACCACTATAAATAAAAGTTATACCACATGACTAAACTAGGAAAATTATGTTTTTCCTAAGTGGAAATGGTTTTCCTTAGCAGAAGGTTTTTCCTGTCCTGAACAACTTCAATACCCTTCACCTCTAAACTAAATTGAGTGATCTGATTGGAACAGACTGGTTTTCTGAGCATACATCTTTTTTTAACCCTTGGGGATAAAATTCAGCTCTTGGAAAGTAAGAATTATTTTAACTTGCCTTTACACAGGGGACCTAAAATCATTTTTTAAAAGAAATTGCAATTTACATTTCCATGAAATAATCTCTAAAACCCAATTATAGTCAATCAGGAAAACATTCACTTGATTCAGATATACAACTTTCAACTGTGATTAGACACTCAATCACATTGTCAGTTATGTTACCAGTTTTTGATTCCTCACTACCAAACATGACTTCAAAATTATGAGAATTTGTTATTTAAAATAAATTTTTTATATGAAATTTATTTTTCAGTATAAAAGTTTCATAAATTATTCCAAAGCCATAAAAATATGCAGGTTGGCAAGAATGAAAAAGGCTCCATCACAGTAATATGAGAATTCTTTTAGATTAAACAGACTCATTCCTCAAAAATACCATACAATTATTTACACCCTGATCATGCCACATATTTAGAGTAAGTGGACTAAACTGGCCTAAACACATGATTATTTGTCAGTACTGCCATATTCCACTGTATTTTAATGGTGTGGAAAATTACAGCATTGCAGAGTGATAAGGAAATGTTATTAATAAATTAAAATCCCCACGAGCAGGAAACTTGTTGCAAATGTCTCGCTAAAAATCAGAAAAGTATATTAGCCAAAATAATTTGTGATGTGTTACTTTTTCACCTCCTGGACTGAAAAATTTA